ATATATATATTGTGTATATCATATATATATATATATATATATATACATATATATTATACGTACCTTCGGTGTATAGGACGCAAGCAGATTCTGACATCAAATTTTGGGGTAAAAAAGTACGTCTTATACACCGAAAAATATGGTAATTTAAACTCTGTTCTTTAAACTTTGTTCTCTTATTTATCATTTATTTTAATTTTAATATGAGATTCTAAAACTATTTTTGGCTTCTTTCACAGGACGAGCATGATAATTTGGTGTCTGCTTATTGTAAAGGTACACTTAATGTCCAGATTACAAATTTTGGTTCCTCCCAGGAAGAAATTCCAAAGTTAGCAGGGAATGTCACTTCGATCCAAGTTCCTTTTGATAAAGGTCAAGCTATCCTAGAGGTAACATTGCATTTCCTTCTCTCTTTTTATAAGATGAAATTTTTTTTTCTCATCCTGTTTTAAAAGCACTATACTGTAGTCATTTGTCACTAGCTCAGGTTTAATTTGTTCAGGCTTGATTAGTTACAATTTGTAGTTGACAACATAAAACACAAAGCATGACTTCAAGTTATTGAATTGTTTTTTTTTTGTATTATATGTAATTTGTTCAGTAATTAATTTAAAATCACAAAAGGAATATTTTATGTTACTTTTGGCATGCCTTGATGTAAATTTGACAATTTTTATGGTTTTATTAGGGCTTTTCAGAGGTTTATTCAATCAAGCTTAGCTATATTAAAATTTTGTAATTGTTAAAATTAACCTTTTTTAAATTTTAATTAGAATGAGTTTGATTAAAAATGTTATTAGCAAAACAACTATGCTTCACAACTTAAAAAAACTGTAATATTAGGAACTTATTAGATAAAGAAAAATTAACAATAAATTCAGAAAGAAATAAACTACAATGTAAAGTAACAAGTTTTTATTTTATTTTTTATTATTTTATTTGTTTGGAGATTCTTTTCTGGAAACTTTCATACTGAAGTGGGGTAAAATTCCCAATCATCATTGGAAGCTTAAGAGCTTATATCTTTAAATATCAGAGATTGAAACCTGTGTGAACAGAGGAGATAACTCGTTGTGTAGCTTTACACATAAACACAAACTTTACTTTGTGTTTTGCCACTATATATATATATTTGATTGGTAGTGAATGAAAACAGTTTTACTTGTCAAAACAAGTTAAAGCTTCAGGATTTGTAAAGACGTAAAAGTGAGTTTCAGTTTCTGAAATTGTAAACTGTAGGTCAAAAGCTCATTTTCTCTTCTGTATACAGAATTTGATGATACAGGAAAAAAGCCCAGGCATAGATGGGAAAGAGTATATAATACGATGTACAGCTGTGATAGACAAGTTATCATTAGAATACCCCATTTCTCCTTATGATGTGTACTTCCTCTTCTATAATGGTAGGTTTTGTTAATGAATGACAATAAAATAATAATTTTTAAATCTTCAATAGCTGTTTTTTTTGTTGTTGTTTTTTTTTTTACATATAAACACTTGCAAGATTTCTGAGTTGTAACTGAATCTCTTAAATGTGATACTAGGCTTGTCCTAATTGTTAGTGTATTGGACTGTAGATTCAAGGGTCCACGGTCCACATCCCGTTGCAACAATAACATGTCTCACATTTTGTGGCTGTGGGTGCAGTATAAGAGCAATGATTCATTCCCACTACATGATTAGAGTAGTTGATGGTGGGCTGTTAACTAGCAGCCTTCCCTCCAGTGCAACAGTTTAAAATTAGGGACAGATAGCCCTTGTGTAGCTTTACATGAATATCTGAAACACATTTAAACATGATTGATTTGTAAATACCAGAGACCTAATACATTAAATGAATTTGGTAATGCATTTTTGTTTTTAAAAAAGGAAAAAATAATAGAGACAACAGATTGTGTTTGATAATTTATTTTTTTGCTGAACAATCATCTGGTTCTTTCTTTATTAAGAACACAAGGAATAAGTCGAAGTTAAATTAGAAGTTTTATTTTCAACCTAGAACAGAGAACAACATTGATGGTGGAGAATACTAACAAAGAAAGCTGATTACTGACACTACTTTATACTTTAGTGTAATTTAATACTATGCTAAAACAATAAAATTATACTACAGAGTACTTGATTGAACATAAAAAGTATGTGTGTGTATGTATATATATTAAAACAAGTTTGAAACCTTACCACATTGTTACAGTCCTTGTCCCCTCACCCAGACCTTGCACCTTGATGATAGTCCTCCAGCATCATTTACATTACTAAAGGATCAACTTCCAGGATGTCATGTCCAAAGCACAACACTCATCCATGCATGCTTTCCATACCCCATATAGTATACGAGGATGACAGTTTCTTAATGCCCATTTAAACAATTTGATCACACAAAAATCCATAGGCACTGAGTTTGGTGACTTGACCAGTATATCTTCTTATGGAATAGCATAAATACATGTTTCATTCTCAAGCTGCTTCAGGCATGTGACAGTTGAATGGATATATTGTGGAAGCAACTTGTGTCACCTTTTCCAGATGGAGGTCTTTCTTAATTATATTGTGTACTGTTGTATTGTTCATGTGGACAGCTTTTGCAACTGACTTTTGTGTTAAAGGATTCTTGCCTGTTACAAGATGCCACACATTTGTTAACATGACTGGGGTACAGGTTGTTGCATGTCTCTTTCTAAATGGTCCTGATGCCCAATGTTGATTCATATTATTTTATTTTCTAGTGCCAATAAGTGTGGAACCAGGCAGCCCACTTCTCTGTTTGTAGTATTACTTTTTAAATCCAGTATTGGCAGGAAACTTTGTTAATTATACATAAAAGTACAGCTCCAAATGTAATGTTCAATTCTACTATTTGTTGGTAAAAGAGTAGCCCAAGAGTTGGAGGTGGATGGTGATGACTAGCTAGCTGCCTTCCCTCTAGTCTTACACTGCTAAATTAGGGACAGTTAGTGTCGATAGCCCTCGTGTAGTTTTGCGCGAAATCCATTATAAACAAACTTAACAGTTTTTTGTACACTAGTTGCACCACAATGAATATTTTTGAAGCCTGCTGGTTGAGGGGTTAATATGGTATAATGATTTTCCTTTCTAGGACAAAATAGCTATTTTATTATTAAAAGATTTAGACAAGGACACATTATAACAATGTATGATGGTTATTCCTAAGATTATGAAAAAAAAGTTGTCCATTAGTGGATCAATGGTAAGGTTATGGACTTACAACACTAAAATATGAGGTTTAATTCCATGTAGTGGGCAGTGTGCATATAGCCTATTGTGTAGGTTTGTATTGTCCTGCTTCTTAGGTTATTATTATTATCAGTTTAAAAGTGCTTTCAATATGCTTAAGTGAAGAATTGTTGAACAAAACCTTCTGTGCTATTCTTTATCAACTCAGTGTCCATTTCTAATTGTCTTTACGAATATCCATCAAACTAAAGTAATTTTGAACATTTTCTCTCTTAGCATACTGAATTTTATTTTTCATTGTTTTGTTTTAGATATTCAGAAGCAGGCACAGATGGCTAATTTAGCTAAAGAGCACGATTCTCTAGTCTATAAAATAAATACGTACAAGTCTCTCTTCGATACAACTCAGCAATATTTAAAAGAGCTAGAAGGTTAGTACAGTAGTTTGTTTTCTTACTGTCAAGACTTATACAGTGTGGAAACGTGTGAATTAATATTAGAAGTCTAATGTTAATGAAATAATGTGTTGTAGATTTTATTATCACTTAATTAATTTTTAAACCCCTTAACAGTATTTCATACACTAGTTGCACCATAATGAATATTAAAATAAAGTTTTTAGGATTTGATCTTTGTATTATTCAACAGCAAAAAAGAGAATTAAGAGAGATAGAAACATAAATATTTTGTATCTATTAAAAACTCAATAAGACAGCATTAAAATTTACAAAATAATTTAACTTCTGCTTGCTTTGGTGATTTACAGATCCATCATAATCAGAAAGGAAAAGCAGTGAAGAACTAGTTATCTTGTTTGTACGTTTTTTCAAGTTTTTTTGAATTTAACAAAAAACTTCGACTGATTATTTAGCATAAATGATGCTACAACCTGTTAATCTTTTTTTTTTAATATAGATTTCCAAAAATACATTTCTGTTAGCCCCTGGATCTGAATCTATATATAAAATTAACTTTGAGTTCTTAAATGTATCTAATGATTTTATTATATTTAATTTATACTATTATTTAAATTTAATTAAATTGACATTGTTCAGATTAACACTATGACAAAAAGCATTGCTTGCCATATGTTTAATTAATGCAGATTCCTTAATTTTTATATGTTCAGCCAATGTACATCAGACCACACTCTCAAGAAATTTTATAAATACCACACAAATTGGAAAGATGTATAAACAGTAGATTAAAAAGTTTCACACTGCTGTCTCCTTCCTGCTGCTGATGGGTCTATATCCCACTAAAACAAGTAGAAACTGTTAGGTAAGACCTCGTGCCAGTAACAAAGTATTGTTTAAATTCTATCATTGTCTTACGGAGTTTTCATTTAGTACTTTAAATAAGGCCAGTCTAATTTGATTTTCAAATTTTGTACCTTTCCTTACTTTTTGTTTTTTTAAAGTGCATGTAATTATCCATTAAGTGACTTTTGCACCAGTCTTCAGATAGGTTATTTACATTGAATTGGTAGGAATGTCAAGTAATGGATACAAAGAAAGTGTATTATTGCCAATACTTGTTTGAAATAAAATGTTTTATATATGCATGCGTTATCTTTTGTTTTTCTGAATCATGAAGTGAAGTATCAAATATTAGTTAATAGACTTAGTTAACTGTTATTCTGTGCTGAATCATAATGATTTTTTTTTTTTTTTTACATTTAGCTGTGGTGCAAAGTTCTGCTAACGAAGAAAACAAGATACGTAATCAGTTGCAGTTGCTTGGAGATAACTTACAAGGTTTAAACAGTGTAGGTTAAAATAAAGTTTGTAGGATTTGACATAATGTTCTTAACTCAAAACTAATAAAGTAAAATAGTTAAGATGTTACTCAAGATACGTAGTCAGTTGCAGTTGCTTGGAGATAACTTACAAGGTTTAAACAGTGTAAGTTAAAATAAAATTTGTAGGATTTGATGTAATGTTCTTTACTCAAAACTAATAAAGTAAAATAGTTAAGATGTTACTCAAGATACGTAGTCAGTTGCAGTTGCTTGGAGATAGCTTGCAAGGTTTAAACAGTGTAAGTTAAAATAAAATTTGTAGGATTTGATGTAATGTTCTTTACTCAAAACTAATAAAGTAAAATAGTTAAGATGTTACTCAAGATACGTAGTCAGTTGCTTGGAGATAACTTACAAGGTTTAAACGGTGTAGGTTAAAATAAAGTTTGTAGGATTTGATGTAATGTTCTTTACTCACAACTAATAAAGTAAAATAGTTAAGATGTTACTCAAATCCCTAAAGTATTGTAGGTTATTAGTGATCAGTAAGGGAGATTCTACGTCAAATTCTACAAATTTTTTACATCCCGTCACTATAAAGAGACATAACTATGTCTTTGGTTTACTGTCCCAAGCAGTATTAAGGAGATGTGATTTGACAAAATTATAATGTACTGCAGAGGAAGTAGCAAATCAAGGAATAGATTAGACCTCTGTGCTCTTTACTGAAGTTTTTATAATGTACTGCAGAGGAAGTAGCAAATCAAGGAATAGATTAGACCTCTGTGTTCTTTACTGAAGTTTTTATAATGTACTACAGAGGAAGTAGCAAATCAAGGAATAGATTAAACCTCTGTGTTCTTTACTGAAGTTTTTATGCAACACAAAATCAGTTAAGCAATTTTTTGTTCCAGAAATGGTATATTGCATGGAATTTGTTAAATTTTTGAGAGTTTCAGAAATGCTGTGTAATATGGAATAATTTAAAGAGTTTAACATTATAGAAATGTTGTGTAATATGGAATAATTTAAAGAGTTTAACATTATAGAAATGTTGTGTAATATGGAATAATTTAAAGAGTTTAACATTATAGAAATGTTGTGTAATATGGAATAATTTAAAGAATTAATCATTATAGAAATGCTATATAATATGGAATAACTTAAAGAGTTTAACATTATAGAAATGCTATATAATATGGAATCAGTTAACCCTTTCTACACGGGCATCCTTTACTGTGCATGTCACAGAGTTTTTTCAGTGACTTACATTCAAAATGTAATTAAACTACTATTTATTTATGTTATACCAATTAATATAGCATAAATTTGTAGCTAATGATTCATATTTTAATAGTATATAAGTTTTAAGTTCTTTTAAGTTTTATAAGGCAATATAAAAAAAATCCTGAATTTACCCTAGTGTGAGAAATGTGACATTTTTACTTTAGGCATTCTCTCTTCTCTAATTTATTCACCATCCTTTCCAATAAGTATGAAATATCAAATAGAAAAATCAGACCTTTTTTGTCACATCCTCTCTTTCAGGATTTGTTAATAGTTCTCTCTTAAGCTTAATTCTATATTATTTATAACCAATAGAAAGCCAAGGTTTTCATCTATCAAATGATTAGTATTATATCATGTTCTTTTTTGAAAAGAGAATTGTCAATTTCTCTTTTAGTACAAGCTTCTTTCTCATGGGAAAGATATCAACTAGAGTGAATGCATTTGTAATAGCTATTGTCGCATAGTTAGAAAGCCAGAAAACTTGTGATAATTATGGGACATTGTCTGATTTTTTCATGTTATTATTCTTTGTTCTTTGGGGCATCATTTAATTAAATAAAAATTATTTAGTGCATTACTATCATCAGTATAAAAAAAAAAAGTAGGGTTAAGTGTCAATGACAGTTAACAGCAAAAAAAAAAGGGCCAGGTAAAAACTTTACTGCTTGTTTTTCATGTGTATTCTTGATTTGTTATTATAAAAGTAACTAAAATGTAAAAATAGGAATCTCTTTAGGTTAATTAAGGTTAGATTAGGTAAAATAAGTAATAATAATATTATGATAAAAATGTTTCATGAGGCACACATGCGAACAACTCGAAGTAGCTCATAGGTAGTGTAATTCAATAGTGTAATGTGAGCTCCATGTTCCCCAAGTGATTTACAACTGATAATGGTGCGAATAGTAGTTAGGCATGGTTCAAAGGGCAGTAAAACTATATAATTTAAGTATAAATAGATGTATACTGTTTTGAGTTTAAAGCTGCTTAGGATAAGCAAATGTAGTTTCATGTTACAATTTAAAGTCATTCTAGAAAGAAAAGGGGTGATTTAGATTTATTTAGATTTTTTTTTTGGTGGTTACGAGGTAAGTCAAACTGACCAACCTTGTGTAGAGTTATGGTAGAGAAAGTAGCAGAAAAAATATAAAGTTTTGTTGAAAACAGTCGTTTAAGTATTTAGGAGGTTTTAGAGATTTTTCAGATGAAGAAAAGTATTTTTTAATCTTAACACGAAAATCACTTTGCACATGAACTAGTCTAAAAAAAGATTTTATGTATTCGTGGACAAATCTTTTTTATTTTATTAAAATACTTCACTAAAAAGTCTGATTTTTTGTATATGAAAGACTCATAATATTTACTAAAAGTCTGTCAAATTTTATGAAGATATACATACTACATTAAAAGTTATTAGTATCAAAACTATAACAACTGTAAACGAGTACAAAGTTGTCACGTGGTCAGTTAATTTGACCGAGCCCATGTCAAGAGAGTTAAAGGGCTTTGTATTACAGAAATGGTGTGTAACTTGGAAGAGTTATGTGGTTTTAGTGCTATAGAAATGTTATCATTAAATATGGTAGTACTTAGTAGTGGGGAAGGATAGAAATAATAAAATAATATTCAATCGAGGGAAGCTATCAGGAAAATTACATTTACTCGTGTAAAGTTGCGTTTCCTCATGAATTGTTTTTTTATTAATCCATGCAGTATGTTCACTCTCAAAGGAATATGGTCATGCATTCCCTGATCAGGAAAGCCAACTAAAAAGATGAAATTCATCAAGCAAAGTTAAATTCCTTTGGAATGCGGGAATGTAATATTTTGATCTCTGGTAAGGATTGTGATGAAACAAAATGGTGGCCATAAAAATCGCCCGTTTAAACCACCTTTAAAAATGTCTGAATATCAACAATGACTATTTCACAGTATTGGCTGAGCAGCATTAAAGGTTATTGTACGTATAAAGCTACCCAAATTGCTATATACATGGTTATGGAGTGAATCAAAATTTCACAATTATAACGAATTTTCATCTAAGTAAGTAAGTTGGTGAACTTTCCAAACAAATTTACAGAAAAAATGACTAACCTAATGTCTCTAATTCTTTCACAAAACTCTAGAGTCCCAGTGATTCCTTTTTTATACCAAGGTGGATACTAGTATATACATATATATATGAAAGAGACGATGCTCTACTTTGAGCATTTTACTAGATTTCAGATTAGATTGGAAGAGATCTTGACGAGTAATAAAATCGAATCGGGTATATGCATGCCCCACACTTGGTATTGCTAGTGCACAAAAATATAGCTAATAAAAAGGAAAAAAATAAGTATAATAAAAATGTTTTAAATTTTATCATGACAAATATGGATCAATATATACGTAACCTAACTGCCTATAGTAATATCGAAAGTTTTAATGCTACAAAAAGTATTGATACAAGAAAGTCAAATTACAAAAACTGAGTTACTTAAAATTAAAAAAAATTATCCCTACTTTGGCAAATCACTGTTAGTCTGAGCAAAAGTAGGATTAGAATGTTTTAAGTAACCCAGTCTTTGTAGTTTTGACTTTCTATAACTAGCTATGTTACCTATGTATTAATCCCTACTTGAAGTTTTTTTTGTTGTACTTGCATGATACATAATCAATTAATTAAAGGGTTTAATGCTATACAATTAGTGTTTAACATAAATACTATGGAATTAGTTAAGTGATTTTGACATTACAAAAATAGTATGCAACCTGGAATCAAGTAAAGGGTTCTAGTGTTACAAAAATGATGTGTGACATGGAATTAAATAATAATGTTATCAGTAAAGGATTTTAACATGAAATATGTGAATGTCATTACATCGTTATTTGAAGGGTCAGGGGATTTTTTGCTGTAATTAACAGTTGAATTATTCTAAATACACGGAGAAGGAATGAGTTTTGATTACGCATCAAGAAACAGATAAATTTATGTGGACTACTAAAATTTATTTTAATGATTTATGTAATATTATGCAGAAAATGATTTTATTATTAAGTGATTGTTTGCATAATGATGCAATATAACTTTCTGATTCCGTTTCTTTATAGAGTTCCCAAATTATGGCTGCAATTAATAAGTGCAAAGCAGCTAAGGAACAACTGGAGCAGCAGTCAAGAAGAGAATGTAAACTACATCGATTTCCTCCAGAGCCAGGAGTTCTGGGAAAAATAGGCCATCTAGCTTGGGTCAGTAATGTACAGGTAGCCCGAGTTCTGGCATGGCACATGCAAGGAGACATGGATTGTCTAGTCACATTATCTAAAGAGAAGGTAGATGGACTTTTTTAGAGATATTTATTTGAGAGTGTATCAAATCTATCAAAATGCTATATGAAGATTGTTAGTAGGTTACATAATTCTCATGAAATTTCTTTACAAAAATTAAACTAATGGATGAAGTTGTTGAAAATTTGACAAAACTGATGGAGTTGCGAGAAGATGAATACAGTCACCCTACTTTTGTTATCGATTAAAAAGCTTTGAAATTTGCCTTGTGAATGTTTTAGATGCTGTCTGGTTGTGCAACCTTGTGAATGCTTTAGATGCTTTCTGGTTGTGAAAGTTTTTATATCTCAAAATCGGGCCACATTGGAAAAACGGTTTGACTTTCTTGAATTTCTCTGAAAATTGTAAAGGGGAAAGAAAGAAACAACTCATATCTTGCTTAATAGTATATTACTTTCAGTTATTGATAACCTGCATTAAAATTGAGAAAACCTTTATAATAATCGGCTTTTAAACCGTGACCGGTTAATTTTGTATTTTCATGCTTATTAATCCTTAATGAAAGTACACAGGTGAAGTTTTACATATAAGCTTGTTCACAAAATGCTGGACTGAAGCCAAAAGCTGAAAAATAGTAGTTAATTTTTTTTTTTCGGTAAGAACACAGCATACATGTGGTACTGTTGTCCTGTACAAATGTATGGATATTTCTCAACTTTAATACTTGAAAAATTCATACATCATAAACTTAAATCTTTTAAGTTAAAAAAAATAAGTATTTTTACTTCTTTTATTTTCCAGGCAAATTAATTTTATTCCTTTCATGTAATTTTTTTTTTCTGAAAAGGTAAAAAATTTTCAAATGTAAAGCTTCTCTATGTTATAGCAGTAATTATAGAAAACATTGTACGAAAGATGAAGGAGAAAAGTTCTTACATTGTAAAAATTAGATACTGCATAGAGATAAAAGTAAACTAAACCTCATAGATGTTGTTTACATACTGAAAAGATGTACAGTTAAAAAGAGTACAATAAAAAATCGTTTGTTTATTTTAAATTTAATCTCACTGACAGCATTATAAGCATCTTCTCACTGTGAATGAAGCTTTCCACTGAGGGTTCTATAAAAAAAAACTTAATATCTTTATAAAGGACTGAGTTGTAAAGGAAATTTGTTTTGTACATGTTATTTAGGCACTAGAAATTCATCGCAGAACAGCAGGACAACAACAGCTTCTCCCATTAGACTCTGTCTTCAAAAGAAACTTACCAGACTGGAATAGGTATGAAAATCTTAGTTTAAAATCGTTTTTTTTTGTGCATTATAAGTAACTAGATTGCTTTATGAGGATCAGTAACTGCACCATCAAATAGTATTTTGAGTAAACAGTGCATTATAAGGATATATGTCAAAACTAGTTCTGCAAAAAATAATAAACAAATTGGAAAAAGGTGGTTAGGGCACTCAATTCGCAATCTGAGGGTTGCAGGATCAAAATTGCCGTCCCACCAAACATGTTTGACCTTTCAGCCATGGGATATTATAATGTGACGGTCACTTCCACTATTTGTTGATAAAAGGGTAGCCCAAGAGTTGGAGGTGGGTGGTGATGACTAGCTTCCCTCTAGTCTTTCACTGCTGAATTAGGGATGGCTAGTGCAGATAGTCTTTATGTAGCTTTGCACAAAATTCAAAACAAACAAACAAAATAAAATTGGAGACCAAAAGTGGGTTTGCGACAAGAGCTCTTACAAATTCATTCATGCTAGTTGATATTTTTCCCATGGGAACAAAGCTCGTACTAAAACAGAAATTGACAATTCTCTGTTCACAAAACAATGTAATATAACACGTTATTTGATAGATGAAAAACCTGGTTTTCTATTGGTTATAAATAATATAGTATTAAATGTAAGAGAGAACTATAAACAAATCCTAAAAGAGAGGATGTGACAGATGGGTGTGGCAAGAGGGGTCTGATTTTCTATT